CAGGAAAAACTGACATTTCCTGTCACTTCTGGCTGCATCCTCCTCTTTCTCAGCATTTTCTCATCCAAGTGGTGATAAATAAATGGAAGTGATGGAGGATGTTGATTTAGGATGCATTGTTGCAGTGTAAGTGCTCCTTCCCCCCAGGGTTATCCAGGACAACACACATGGGTGCATTTTGTGGACCTTGGCTTGGGTTTTGCTGTCTCTTCTGGAGTTTGTGCATGTATAAAATAGAGAGTTGAGCTGTGCCTAGAGCTTGAGATGTGACAGGAAAACAGTTTTCAAGCTAAGCTCAGGCTTCTGGGTGTTGTTAAATGTTCTTTCCCTTTGCAAGCCTCTGTAATGGAGGTGTTTCTCAGCCAGAGTAATGAAACCCCCTCCCAGCCGCCTCACTTTGTGGGCAGCACTTGGTTGTAACAAACATACGGTGGAAGGTGTGAGCAAGGGGGTCGGACATCTCTCCCCATCATACCTTACTAGCTTTGAGCAGTTTCAAGCTGTGTATCCTCCAGCCATCCCTCAGAGAGAGGAGGTGTGGGTCAGGAGAGAAAATAAAAGGCTCTAAAGGTGTCTTCTATATTCCTTTTATTGCCAGACCTGAGAGGTTGTTGTAGTAAGTTGTCAAGAGCGGAGGGATTGCTAAACGGGGTAAGGGAGCAGCTTTACACTCTGTGTCTGTGGGTGTGCTGGAGGAGCTGCGCTCGTATCGTGCTCTTTCCACTGCCTGACACTTTGTGGTGTTTGCTCAAAACGACTCCAGACGGATGATCCCAGGCCGCTTCCCGAATGTGCTCTGTAAGGCAAAGCTGCCTGCTTCACCAGTGGGAATTGTGCAAGAGGAGGCATCAAGACACAGCATTGACTGGGGATTTGTTTTGCAACCAGAGGCTTTGATACAAGAGAAGAACTTGGTTTGGGAGAAGGAAGGGTGGCCGATGCATTACTAAATAGGCTTATTATCTGACTGCAGATAAGAAGAACTTGTCTTGCTTTTGGAGATTGCTTTGTGAGCTTTTCCACTTGAAGTATGGTGTTCAGCGAGCTGAGCAGTGCTGGGGGGATGCTGTGTGCTGGTCCTTTTGTTGTTGTTTTTCTGAAAAGAACCATCAGGCTTGTCAAAACTAATTAAGTGAACAAGTAGATGGCACTGGGAAGGAAATTCAAGCTAGAGTGACAACTTTCAGGAGAATCTGGTCATCCCTTGGTACTTACATAATAGGCTTTACAAGTGCAGTTAGGTCTATAGAACTTGCACATGCAAGCGCACAGTGGTAATAAGTATGTTGATTTTTTTTCAGAAATGCTTATATTCTACTGATTTCAATCCCTTTAAAATGAATAAGGTGGCCTAATGCTGATGTTTCTTCCCTTCTGGGCCAAAAGTGTTTGGCTCTGAAAGGGTATGGCTGGTTTCCAGAGGAGTCTGGAGAGCTCAGCATCCAGGGTGAGGGCTGGATTTAAAGAGAAAACCTCCTGGAAAGGTCTGTGAGACAGATCCCTAAGGGCCTCCTCCCTGTACTTAAGAGTGCTGAAGTTGCCTGTGGTGTTGATGAAGGTGTGATGGATCAGTGCTTTGGTAAGGGCCTGCCTCTCTGCCTCTGTTGACATGTCGTAGACTGGGCTCGTGGTTGCTGAAGAGCTGAGATGATACCATTTATGACTTGTTATGAAAAAAAATGCTGACGGCTAGCAACGTGTGCCCTGTCTGAGGGATTTTAGGAAATAATATTGCCATACTCCATAGTGGTTTTCACTGGCATTTTGAAGAAGTTCCTGCTTGCCCTACTGTCACCTGAACTCTGTCCGAATCCTCAGAATATCATAGCTTGGTTAATGACATGGTCACAGGGATGGGGACGGTCTTTTTTTTACTGAGCAGTGTTTTCTTCCTTATGGGATCACCCTGAAAGTGATGGTAGCAATCAAGGAACAGACTGTTTCTCCGTGAGAGTAGGATGATGAAAGCTTTGCTTGTGCAAAGCATTTTGTTTTGTTCTGTTTTATTTTGCCTCAGTTCCCAATGTGTTTTTAAATGGACGTGCTATTGATGTGATGCTCCTGCTAACAAGCAGTGCCAATTTGAGTTACCTCCACACTGGGTCATCATGTAGCTGTTCTGGCATTTGCAGCACTGGCGGGGCTCAGCTGAACTCCAGCACATGCGTGTGTTTGTGGCTGCTTCAATCACTGTGTTTTCTTTTGAGAACCACGAAACTGTGTCAGAGCATCTGTATTTTGTTTGTTCTTATTTCTTTTATTTTTCCCTTTTTTTTTTTTTGAAATGTTTTAGCTGTTGATGCCCCCAGGATTAAAGTAGCAAAGGATTGTGATAAAAGTGTTTCAGAACATTAGGGAATTGTGAACGTTGGCTGGCTCGGAGGGAATCTATTATTTACACTCTACTGTATCAAATTCAGCTTCCACCAAATTAGAAACTGATTTTTGTCATTGTCCCTTTTTAATCTAACCCCTTGGTTAACTCAGGAGAAGCTGCTCCATAAATCACATGGACATCTATGGATTTTTTTTTTCCCCTGCCAGACATTGCTAGGACTAAATGTTCATCCCCCAGTGATACTTATCAGCCAGTACACTAATAATAACAATTCTGTTTTGGGCTGGACTTTCCCTCTGCCAGGAGGAAAACTGTCTTTGTAATGTGCCCTGCAAAATATTTTCAGAAAATAAAATAACAGTACACATGACTTGGAGTGCTTGGTCTTTCACCAGTGGGGTTAGGGAGACTCATCGTGCCCTATTTCATGATCATCACAGGCATGGAGTGAGCAATGAATACTTGCTAGCATTTTTATCAGCACTTCACTGTGAAAATTAATATCATAGTTCCTATTTTGCAGATGGGAAACTGAGGTATATGGTAGCAATATTGCCCAACAAACTAGGGACAGATCAAGAAGCTCAGTCTCTTACGTCACTGTTCAGTCACATTAAAGCCATTTTAGATTTGCTGAATTAGACAGAGAACATCTGTCTACTGAGCGTTACTAAAATAGAGTTCTGGTTTTACTGGATCTCAGGAAGAGGACAGGCAGGTTCACTCACCATTGCCTGGAAAGGTATTTTAAAGGATCCGAAGAGTGAGCTGAGTGTAGAAACACAGAGGAGACAGCATGGTGAGTAGGAGGTAGGGACCTGGTAGATCCCAAGTGTCGTAAGTTGGACGGTTAAACTGGTTTACTTCCCTCACCTTCTTTTCATCTTCATTTGACTGCAGCCTTTTATCTCACTGGCTGCCTTCTCTGTCTTTTTCTTCCCCAGGTCGGTGACGGGTTTGGATAAAGAGCCTGACCTTGTGCACATGGAAGCCCGGACAGCTGATGGACGTGAGTGTCTGCAGCCAACACTGATCAAGTGGGCCTTGAGTGAAGAGGGGAGTGAGGAATGAACTACACTTGGCTCATTTTTCCTCCCAATTTGTATTTTAATTTATAGGAAAGATGTGGGTCATACTCTTATCCTTAGGCATAGGGGGGAATTTGAAGGCTTCAGTGCTTGTATCTGTGCAGAACCTTGGCAAAAGCACAATCTATTGGGTTAGGGAGCCATTCTGTTCCTTATTTAGCTGCTTCATTATCACTTATTCTATATGAGTCAGAACTTCTGTACACTTGCAGAGGGGTTCAAAACAGCTTGGTCATACCTGGGAATTTAGCAGACTGTGTGACAAATTGCTGACCGTCAGACTTCTTCAGCCAGAAAGTCCCTATGCCCCAACCACCCCTTGACACGTATTGAAGGGATCATCCAGGTTTGCTCTGCATCTAGATGTTGCAAGCCTGTAAGAGGTGCCCTTATATAAAATTAGAAATACATAAAAAAAACCCCTCCCACCCCCCTTCATTGAAATGCATCTAGCCATATTTGAAGTAGTATGGATTCCTAAGCAATGAACCTCCGAGGAAGAAGACATGATATATTAGAAGTAAGTTGATTTTTTTTCACCACTTTCTCCAAAATGTTTTATATTTCCCAGGATCCCAGCATGGTAATGCATCCTTTTCTGGATGGAGCCTGGCAGTTGCTTAACTGCAGCTCAGTGATACACCACGATGGGCCATGTGTCCCTCAAACTACAAGAACAGCATAGGAAAGCAGCACAGAATCTCTGTGGGGTAGTGACAGGGGCTATAGAGGATTTCTGGTGGAAAAGGGCCTCGGTTTTGTTGGGTGTAGACTATTTTAGTCAAGTGCTGCAGGAGCCAGATGCAGCTGAACCAGCTCCTGTCTATCAGGATATCCTCTCTAAGGCTGTGGTTCTTCTAAAATCGCTCACTGACTTCCCACTGCTATTTAGTGATGGCAGCTGAACAAATAACCAGGCAATAAAAGCGTGGGGGTGACAGCTGTTTGTTAAATATGGGGAAAGAGCAAAACAGACCAGCAGGTGGGTGGACAAGGTAGGGAGGCTTCCCCGGTGCCTTTGCTGCTGCGTATGCTGTTGTAGAGATGTCGAGAGATGTGGCCAAAAGCAAGTAAACAAGCAAGTAAGCAAACAAACTGCTGATGGAGCCTGCTTTCAAACTAAGCTTAAACTTGCTCACCCAGCTATTTGAATACTGGCTGTGTCAAGGATGTAGATGCTTCATCTGAAAGATGTCTCCCTAGTTCACAGACAGCTCTCTTCCTGCAGGTCTTGTTTGCTCGAGGGGTTGATGTTTGTTCTTGTTTTAATGTATAAATTCAGCATTTTGAAATTGCCTGTCGATGGTATTGAGGGTTCCCCTGCAAGCCAGGCTTAAACAGCGGCATCAGCAAAACGGACCCGTTGTGAGCTGTAGTCTCAGCAGACTGCAGCACAGGCAGGACCCGGTGGGCTGTGCTTGGCCCACTAGTGTGTTCCTCTGCAGCAAAATGCCTCTTCTTTCAGCCAAGCCTGGCATAAGAGGACCATATTGTTCCAATTTGATTTTTTTTCTTTTAGGATTTAAAATGATATTAGTTTATGTTGTTAAAAACAAAAATTCTCGAAGCTGTAGGTTCACCTGATGTGGTGCAAGTACAGCTCTGTGTAGTCAGGAAAGGCAGACTGAATTTCTTTCTCCTCTTTGACTCTGTAGCCAGAATAGACCTTTGTGCTTTTAGTGAAACAGCTGAGGCACTTATATCTGCTGAAAATTGAGAAACTTCTACCTGCAGTTATTTCTGCCTGACTGAGAGTTTCTGATGAGAAACTGGCAGAAAGAAGGGGACCGTTTTCTACTGCCTCTGAGATCAATGTGGTAGCTTAGTCCCTTAGCTGATGCTTAACATGATACAGATATGAGTGTATGCATTGCTCAACTCATTTCGGGGACTAGAACCCTTGTTTTTCTTGTCCCTGACCACTTCAAGAGGGTGAAACTCTTGTGTTTCCCTTCATGACACACGCACACATACACACAAAATGAGAGTAAAGTTTGTTTTTTCTAACAGTAGTTTCCTACTGGAGTCAATAACTGATCCAAAGCTGATTCAGACATTGGAGCTTAATGTATGTTCTGTGGCTGGGAACAGGTGATGGGAGCTGCTAGAGTCACATTCATCCATGGATGAGTCAGGGCTCCCAGGAAGCTAAGGGAGATGGAAGGTGGAGGGTTTACTCACCCCTTCAGTGTATGTCCTTCTGCAAGACATCTTGCCTTATATCTTTCAGGTGTTACTTGTCTTTAAAAGAACATGGGGTCTCTGAGATAAACCTGCCCCAGTGTTTAGTCTCCCCAAATATTTACAAGACACTGCAAATTCCAGTGTCTTCCTGATCTCAAGCCTTTACTGTCTTTTATAACAGATGAAGTTATCACATAATTTGACATCTTGGCAGAGCTATTGTAGCTGGATAATAACGCAGACTTGCATTTTTAAATTACAAAAACGAGTAGCAGCCTTGGGCACTGTACTTTGCCTGTGTTTGATGACAACTGCAAGGGCAGGACTGAATGCAAGGAGATTATTACAAATACAGTGGCACACCTGGAAAAGATATTTTATTAAACTTTTTAATGTTCAATGAGAGGATTGTGAGTTCTTCCCACTCACATGTATGATGCAATAAGCAATATTTTAATTAAAGGGAAAATGGTGGGGGGGGAGCAGATAAAAATGGATTATGGTTAGCTAATTCCTAGGGAAAAAATTACCATCCAGTCTACATTCCTAGACTATTTTTCCTTGAGGTGGAGGGAATGGCTAGGTCAGCTGGTTGTTTTCCCTCTCCCCCAGTAGTTTTCTTGGCAGTTTATGATTTTAAGTCTCACTGGCCACTGATGGAAGCGGAGCCAATCTGCCAGTGCAATTTGTGTCCATCAGCTGTGCTTCTCTTAGCCATGCTGCCCAGCCGTGCCTGCTCTCGCTGCCTCATTAACACTGCAAGCCCTGCTAGGAGCCCTTGCTGTCCCACGTCTCCTACAAGTTGCAGTAACAGGTCCCGGGAGGACCAGCTTCGCCAGCCTTCAACATTAGTGACACGCTCAGCTGTTTCAGCATCTTTGGGCATTGCCAAGCCTCTTGCATTCCTGCTTCCCTCAAAAGCTTCTCAGCCGTGCTTGGTTTGGCAAAGCAGGGACTTTGTAGGCCGTTCATAGTCCCTGGCCTTGAAATTTCTGCCTTTGGATTTTCTCAGTGTGGACATGTTCTGATCAGAGCTGTTGTTCTAGGTCTTTCTCTAGTCTGATCATTTTGCCTTTGAAACGTCCACTTTCTACTTTGTTATAGTAGATGGCATCATTTTTTCTTGCTGCAAGGTTGCTATTCGTTATACCCTGTCATTTTTAACAAGATTTTTTAAAGTGTATTTTTAAGCATCCTTTTCATTTTCTATAGGGAATAAAGATGAAATTGAGCTCATTTTTGTGTCAAAGACAGATATGAAGATAATTTTTTGATCTCTTTGGTTGTTTTCTTTTACAAGCTCTGTATTGTAAAATATATGAAAATAAATGAACAAGAAACTAAGTGGAAAGTGGATAGTGAGATAAGCTCACCACCACCATCAGCTCCCCATGCTTCCTGTGAATATTAATCAAGTGCCTTTCTTTGAGTATATTTGATTGCTGGTGTAACACGCTCAAAATGACACATTTCCCAGTAGGCAAGAAGCTAGTTGTCATGTCAACACTTGTGTGTTTGTTGGGTTTTTTTTTTCATTTATTTGTGACAGGTTTTTATTCCTTCTCCTGTTCTGTCACTCACCAATAGCAAATTATCCCCTGTTCGGAGGGATAAGAATATCCAAGCGAGTGTGTAGGAGAACATACCAGAGGGAATGAGCTTCTAAAAATACAGCTCCTGACCTCTCCTCCTTGCTCTACCTAATTTTAGTGCAGTCTCAAAGAACCAAGTCAAGGCTCTTTGGGTACAATAGCAATCATGTAAGACCCTCTTGTTTTTGAAGAGGTTGTTTTTTATCTACTGCAAAGATGTCTTAGATTTTAGATGTGAGAGATAAATAACAACTCTGGACCAGATCTGTATGTGTCAACTGGTGAAGAGGCTTAACTGCCCTCAGCTGAGATTCTGACCTACTACTGCTGGGTTTTATGCTGGGAGAAAGCACAACTCCTCTGAGTCTCCAGTTGTTTGACACTGTCTTTAGGACAGATCTGTTTCACTGTACGCCATATACTTCAGTTACATCCAGATACTCTGAGCTGGCACTGGTGATAGTTTCTGCTGCTTTAGCATGGTCAGTGGGACTGCGTTTTCATCGCAGACCCAGATGTGTGCAGGTGCTCTGAATGAGCCCCTATCCACCTGGAATTTCATGCCTCAGAGCACAGCCAGGTATGCAGCCTTTAAGCATGGACCTCCAGTCATGCTTTTGGGCATGAACCTTTACTAGATGAAAAAATGGTTGTAGTTTGGGATTTTTTAATTTTTTTTTGGCCAATACCATTGCTGTTACTGTTGACTTCAATGCCTCTGGCCTGCCTTACCTTCTTTTTGATTTTTTAGAGTCTTTTGGTAAGATGAAGCTATGGAAGCAGTAACTGCCAAGTTTTGTGAATCTTGACTTTAACTTGAACCTGAGGAGGCAATTAGCTGCATGTCAGAGGGTATAAGTCATGTCCCCCACTGCTTTCCTGTGAAACAGATTTTACTGTCTCTTGAAGAAGCAGACCGAGGACAGGAGCAGGTTTTATGGGTAGGAGAATCCTGTAAGAAATTTTGCTAGACTAGTTACTCCCCTTTTGAACTTCCCTTTTATCTTTTTGGGCTCAGTTCAGCAAGATCCTTATTAATGGGTGCAGTTGTGTGAACTAAAATCACTGAATCAGGCTCACCTTGGCCCTTATAAACTCTATTTTCTTTCTTAATGGCCTGCCCTCACCACTTATAGAAAAGTCAACAAGTGTTTGAAGCTAAGAAGACTGTAAAAGTATCAAAGTGTAAAAGATACGATCCTTTTATCACTGCAGCTGTCATTTCAGTTGTATTTTCATTTTCCTCCTAATTTGCAGTTTTCAGAAGGGCAATTCAAAGGCAGAGATGGCATATTTAGATTACATACATACACAGATACAATGCCTTGATTGTTCTGTTTCACTTCCTTTCTTAGCCCAAGTAAATTAACACTTAATTCCCTGTCACTCCTGACAATATGCTGGAGGTGAGTGTGTCTCTTCTTACCACTCTGGGCATCTGCCGACACGTCTGCTTTGCAATACACGCCGCTTTATGGTAGCATTTGATTGACTTGTCTCTTCTTCACATTCTTCTTGGAGCTCTGTTGCTCTCAAGCAATGCCGGGGACTGCCAAGGTGTCCCAACAGCATGATGGTCTTCCCATTCTCTCTCCAAACAGAAGCTACTCATGCTTTTTGCAGTGCACATAGCTACTATTGGGACTCTTCAGCTAGTCGTGCTGAAGTGTCATGTCTCTAGCATTTTCATACCTAGCATATGTTGCCTGCAATGGCTGTTACTTAATTTTGAGAGGTATTTTCTCAGTAAAATAAGTTGAACTTAATAGTGTTGGTATTACTGTGTTTCTTTTTTTTTTCCTCTTGGTGTATTACTACTGCAATTAAAACTAGTCATCAAGGCTAGGGTATTTCAGGAGGAGGATGGGGAGACACCCAGAAAAGTAATGAAATGAATATATTCTACGTGGATAGCTTTTGAAATCTCTATCTGCTCTATATCATCTCATCAGTATTGTGATATGATTTGTATCCTTCATTTCTTATTGCAATTTAACTAACCTGAGAGATACCTGCACAACAGGGAAGGGAATGGTGGCCTGTGGAAATGTGGTGAATTCCTCAGTCGGTCCCAGTCTTTGAAGGCTGAAGGTGGACTGTGCTGTAGCATCTAGCTGGTTAAGGTTAAAACTTCCCTTCAGACACTCTCTTTCAAGCTGCTGATAACATTTTTGGACAACAAGCTCATATGTGGGCATTTCTCATGTGTAGATGTTCTTCTGTTACAGGCACCCACTATTTAACCTGTCGGATCCAGGAGTGTTCAGAGACCAAAAGGATCGGGCCTTTCTCACGCTCCATTGACATCAGCTCGCTTGTTGTCCAGGATGAATATATCTTCACCCAGGTAGGTTGACCTGATATGAATGTGACATGAATTCTGTCTGAACAAGGTGTCTGTGTGAGAAGAGGCGTGTTCTTCTGTCCATGGAAAGAGAAGCCATGGGATTGAAAAGCTATACTTGCCTGCTACAGATTGGCTGGGAGTCTGAGGCAAAGCAGTTCTTTCTCTGTGGCACATGCTCTAGATGCCCTTGCTTGAGGAGGGCGGTTGGACTAGATGAACTCTAGAGGTCCCTTCCAATCTTCAATCTGATGTGTTTTGAAAGTTCATTCATCAGTGGTCATAAGGGTCCAGCTTGCTGTTGTTGAAGCTACTTGGAAAACACAAAGAAGCTAGTGACGAGCTGGAGAAAACAGTGAAGAACAGAGCAAAGATGTGAGGGATCATTTTAACAAATGGAAGAGTTTGTGCTGATTTGGCAGACAACAAGTAAGGCTTGAAGGATTGAAGAAGTATTTGCAGTATTTGTGGGAGGCAAGATAGCAGGAGATTGGAAAAAGATGTTGCAAAGCAACTTCAAAGTGGAAAATGGTTGTAAATTTGTCAAGTAGTTGATGATGGTTCTGTATATGGGGAGACAGTGATAGAAATTCAAGGAGAAGCTACTCATTTTGGAGACTTTTACTGATAAAACTGCTGGATGTAACAAGGTCATCTCTCCTCATTTCACGTCTGTGGAGGTGTGAGAATGAATAATATGATGTGATGGTGTGGAAATAGTATTTCCTAAAAACGTGCTATTTGGGCGAAGACCAGGATTCAGGCTGCAGTGATTCCAGGCTGTAGAAAGCTCTGAAGTCACAGAGATTATAGAGGATGATGACGTTAGCTGGTTGTGACCAATGCTGAAAAGATGAGACAGGGCTTGGATCCAAGAGGTACAGAAAAGACATATACTTCTCTTTTTTTGGGCAAGGCTGAGTTGAGCTAAGCTTCTGTTTTTCTGTCTTCAAAGTGCTGCTCATAAAAATGGGAGTTTAAGTGGGTAGGCTGGGATTTGGCAGAAAGCTGGATCCGTATGATCTGGATCCGTATGGTTTGGGATCTGCGAGCACGGGTGCATCACTGGCAGTTGGCTCGTCATGCGAGCGGGCGAGTTGGCTGCTCTGGAGATGGCTGATTGCTATGGGAGCCACAGCTCCCCTCGGAACTTGTCCCACTGCTGCTTCCTCTGGCATCATGGGGACACCTGCTCATAGTGTATATCAAGAATGGAGCTTCTGCAACTTGCTACTGGAGGCAATGGTTTTCCAAACGTGAATGCGCTACTCTCCGAGGAGCGTGAGAGTCTCAGTTTTAATGCGGTGGTTTGTTTCTGTGGCTGAGGGCGTTATTGAGCATCCCAGTTCTTTATGGCTGGCGCAAGGCCTCGCAGAGATTTCTCATTCCTCATCTCTCACCTGTGTTAAAACAAGGCTGCTGTATTTAGAAACTTGGGCTCTCCGTGAGGACATCTGCCTGGCATGAGCATTCCTCTGCTCAAATTAGCATGGAGCAGAAATGATGCTCCAGGCTCCATCTAATAGCTGCTAATTACTTCCAGTTAAATAAACTGTGTGTATGTGTGTGTATACATATATATCCATATCTAGCTATCCGTATATAGTATTTATGTATATAATGTGTATTTGCATTTATATGAATATATATGTTAGTACATGAAGGACCTTGAATATCCTTAGCAGTATTTTATACAGCTTAATGGTTCTTTGAAGAGAAAATCACTTTTTAAAAATATTAAACGCAGTCCCTGAAGAGTTCTGCTAATTTTGGCAGAAGACTTGCACTTTCATGGGCTGTCTATCACTTTTTTCTCTATTCTGCATCATAATTGCAGGTTTCTGTCTATCCAGCAATCTGTTCTAACTGGCTCAAGGAGCTGCATGGATTAATTCCATGTAGTATTGAGGTAACGCTCAGACCTTCAGATTCACATCACACTCCTCTCTCAGCTGAGGCTGTGTTAAATCCACCGTGTCCAGCATACGGTCAATAGGCTGTGCAGAGTGTTTGCTTGGTACATATGTAGGAGTACTGATATGTCCTGGATGTATTAGTATCACAATCCATGGGATGTAACTGCCTATTATGGAATGCATCAGATTCACAGTGTGTGCAATGTCTCATGCATATAATTCTGTCTGGATAATGGCAGGCAGAAATATGGGAGCCAGCTCTTCTGAATTTCAAATATTGGGCAGAGATGAATAAATAAATATCAAATTAAATGTTAAGAACCTGGTGAGGTTTAGTAGCTGCATAAAGCATGGGCATATGAGTTTAGATCTGTCTGTGCCGAAACAATTCAGAAGCAATATAAAGAAGCAGAGAGAGGACCACATTTCACATTTAACTCTTGTCCTGCAAACATTAGGCTTTTAGCCTAAACCAGTAGTCTGTATTCTGCTGAAGTGAGTGGAGAGATCAAACCTGCAGGGACAATTCATCTTACCCTAGACACATGCTGTAAGATGATATGGATATCTCTCTGAATGTGCCTTTCTCATTAACATTAGAAGAAACCTAACTACAGCTTACAAAAGATTCCTAACTTTTTTGACAGCTAAAATCAGGATAGATGAATCCCAGCTGCAGATGTCAATGTTTTAGTTTATCTGTATGCAATTACTCAGTAGTAAATAAATACCACGTTAATCAAATTGATAAGCAGGCCTGTAGTGTCAGATTCCTGGGAAGCATTAACCTGCGTAACTCTGTGCACTCAAAGTAGATGTGACAGTGTGGTGCATAACACATAGGGGAAAGAAGAATATGGAAAATGTTCTAGTGCCATTATGAATCAGTGATTCCTTGTCATGTGGAGCACTGTCATGCAGCGCTTCTGAAAGGGTGTTGCAGAATTACAGCCTAAAAAAGGGATATGAGAATGATTCTATGCTGGGAAGAAACTTTCCCATGAAGAGTTTTTTTTTGCTACCAGGTAAAGGAGAAAAATAATGTAGCACATGATGAAAAATGTAAAAAATAATGAAGATGGAAGGAAGGAATAGCTGCTAAGAGAGAAGAGAAAGAATTCATATGAATAAAACAGTAGGTATCACCCAGAACTTATTGATTGACTTTCTACTTGATTGATCAATAGTAATTCAAGGATGCCTGGCACATCCCTATTTAAGATTGGTAATTCTGCATAAATTGATATGTTAGGTGAAAATCTTGCCCTCTGCTATGCATATAAGATTTCATTCAAGTTAATAAGATTGCTCTGAGGTAACTAGGAGCCAGAATCAACTCCTCCTTTCATGATTAATACTCTAAAATTCATACAGCTTGGAAAGCAGGTCATTTATTTGTGTGAAAAGCTACAAATATTGTATTAAGCATGAATTTCTTCCTGTACCAAAAGGGAAATAATTTCATGCAGGCCTAGGAAACGTAAGCTGTGCTTCACCATTAAGGTCAATGACAGATCTGCATGTGTTTAATGACAGGGCCGTTGAACAGCAGATAACTGTAACATACCTTTATCTTTGTTGTCTTTGGCTGCTTGCTGCTGAAATACATGACTTGTTAGGCCCAGGACGGAGATTGCCTGCAACTGTGTGTAAGGTTCAGCTTCCTGGCAGTTACCTGAGCTGCTTCATTTGTTCTCATGTGCAGAGCTATCATTATAAGCTCCATTGGTCAGCGATAGGTTTTTGTTTTATGTGTGTACCCAGTCAGTTGAGATTTTGGAGAATTTCTAACATAAAAATAAATCACAGTGTTGTTTCAGGGAAAATGTTTTTCAAGAAAGCCATTTTTGGTGTGTTTTAGTTTTTTTGGTTTTTTTGGACCATCTGTGTTCTAATGAAATTGTTCAGGCTGATGAAAAGGGTCTAAAATGCAACATATTCTAATGAAAATGGAGATGATTTGAGGGGAAATTCTGTTTTTGAGTGAGAAGGCATTATTTGGAGAAAAATACTTTTATTTTTCTCTAAGTAAGCAAATAAAATTCATGAAACTTAGTTTTTGGAGTGATTACTCAACAGAAGAGCAGGTTTTGTTTGTGTCTCCTTCCTTGCCAGCAGATGAGCAAGATGAGCAAGAAAGCATCCGCAATATCGTCGTGTATTGCAGGGAGCAAGACCAGACAGGGGCCCAAAAAGTATCAGAATAATTTTGTTTATTTGTGGTGGCTTGGGAACTCCTCACAGGAGCATGAAGGTGGCCCTGCGTTCATTGAAAATCAGTTTTGCTGTAAAATCATGTTTTTTGCACAAAGCAACATTCTTGTGGACAGATCTACAGTGGGCACATGGAGCTAATTATTGCAAAGTTAAAGTAGTTGTTCCCAGTTATGTAATCTGAAGTTGCAGGTATCAGGTGGAACAGCCCTGTGGTGGTGCCGGGTGCCTGCAGTCCTGCGTTTGATGAACCTGGCCCCTGGTGAGCGTGGAGGATGTTCTCAGCTCACTAGTGCAGACCCACATACGGGCTCTGCTGTCCCACAGATCCTTATGTGACTGGGATGGGACGGTAACAGTGCTGAAACTCCCCAGGGTGTGTGGCGTAAAGCCTGCTGGTAATGCTGGTGTTAGAGCACTGATGGCCTAAGGATGCAAGGGAGACAAAGCAAAGGGAGGGGTAGTGTCTTTTATAATATTAGAATTGATAGAGTTGGCAAAGAAGCAGAGAAGCTTTTGGACACACTCATAAGATAGTAAGGGGTTTAAGGAAGGATTAGGTACCTGAAAATTGTCCCCCTCCCTTTTTTTTTTTTTTTTTCTCCCAACTGTAGATGTTTCCTCTCCCTGTACATTACTGTGTCCTCCTTGATGCAGTATAAAACCTCTGGTGTGTAGCTTTCCTGCCAGCAGTCCTACCAGTGTAGCTCAGCATCAAGTTAACACAACTCCCCTTCCTCTCTGAAGTCGCTGTCTCTGGCAGTGCTTGGAGACCCTCAGGGTAACTTTGGCCTTTTAGATTTGAACTGACCGTGTGTCAGTGCAGAGATGTGTCGCGGGGTGAGTGATGCCTACCTGGATTGTTTGTTATGT